AGGTGAGGTGCGCTCTGACGGGCCACGAGCTGCCCTGCCGCCTGCCCGAGCTCCAGGTCTACACCCGCGGCAAGAAGTACCGGCGGCTGGTCCGCGCCTCCCCCGCCTTCGACTACGCCGAGTCCGAGCCGCACGTAGTGCCCAGCACGAAGAACCCGTACGTGATCGGGCCGGGGCGGGGCGGGACCGGCACTGCCGGGAGGCCCAGGGTGGGACAGTTCCTAGTGCTGAGTCTGGGCGATGCTGGGTAGACTCCGAAGCCCGACTCCTCCCGTGAGTTAGGAGACCTGAGATCCAGGTGGGAGTCCTGGAGCTGTGAGTCACCTGGGATTCCAGGTGAGGCTGGCCCCCCGTGCATGTTTGCCTTTTTGTAGACGTGAGGTCTGTCACTTGGGCCTGCCTGCTTCATAGAAAGTCGGAGCGCTTGTGCTTTGTCACCTGAGATTCTGAACGCGGTCATTTTCATACCTTTAGTTTAAAGGAGAGCTTAGATTTAGCCGAGAGCGGACAGTTGACGATAGTGAAAACGAGGAGGGGGACGGCAGATGCTCCCAGTGTCCAGCCCTTGCCAGGCTGTCTTCCCCGTGCCTTCTCTCTTGCTGGGTGCCACCTGGTGAGGCCCGCAAGGCTTATTTTCCAGGTAGGTGTTGGGAGACCGTCGTCAGTCTACAGGAGCGGTCCTGCACCCCCTGCAGAGTGCAGTTGCTTAGGGGCTTCTAAGAATCCTGATGCCCAAGCCACATGGTAGACTTCCCCACCAGACGCCCGGGGGTGATTCCAAGATGCAGCCCCAGTGGAGAGCCACTGGTCTGGATGGTTGCTTGTGAACTGTCCCCTTAGGCACCAGCTGTTCTGCAAGCTCACCCTGCGGCACATCAACAAGTCTCCGGAGCACGTGCTGAGGCACACCCAGGGCCGGAGGTACCAGAGGGCTCTGCAGAAATGTAAGTAGCCCCCGGGGCCACAGCCTGACTGAGTCCCAGGTATCTGGGTGCCCTCCCCCACCATCAGTGCCCCTAGAGGGCAGAAGTGGCAGCTCCATCGCCTTTTGTGGTACTGGTGGATGCACTGGGCCCAGTCCCAGCACAGTGAAGAGGGTCAATGGTAGAGACGGTGCAAAGCTGGAAGCAGACTTGGAAGTAATGCAGGTAGTGTTCAGTGCTGTGCAGACAGCGGGGCCGAGGGTTGCCAGGTGGGCCTGTCTTCCACAGGAGGCCTGAGAAGGGCTGTCTGAGGGTTTCTCTTTAGACTGAAACTTGAGGGACATGCGGAGTAGGGGGAAGGGTGCTCCAGGTGGAGGAAAGGGTCTGTGTGGAGTCTGGGGTAGAAGAACGCTTGGCTGCGGGAGGTTCCGGAGGACAGCCTTGCACCACCAGGCAAGGTGGGGTTAGAAAGGCAGGCAGGGACCAGACCACAGGGGGCCTTGGCCACCATGCAGCAGGGATGCACGGAAAGGGTTAAGGAGGGACTGGCCTGATCAGTGCGTCTCAGCATCACCTGCTGCTCTGAGAGGGGAGGGCAGGAAGGAGTAGAAGAGGGGACCCCGGTTGCTGTGCAGTCACCCCAGTGAAGACGACGATGGCTGGGGCTGCCAGGTGTCGGCAGGGAAGAGGGAAAGATGTGGGCCATTTTTAACAGTTTTGCAGATAAACCCAGCAGACCCGGGAGTGAGGGAGAGAAGGGAATTGTGATCCCTGAATTCTTGGCTTGAGAACTGGGTGGTGGTGACCTCGTGAATCTAGGAGAGTGGAGTCTGAACAATGGCTTGTGAGGAGAATTAAAAGTTCCTTTGAGCGTCTTAAGTTGGGAGTGTATCAGGGAGGGGGCTGTGGGACATGTGGACTGGCCCTCAGACGATGCATGTCGCTGACACAGACATGGCATTTGCATCTGTGGAGCCAGGTGATGGGGCCAGGCCGGGCCCAAGCACAGAAGAGGAGGGCAGAAAAGTGACTGTGATTTGATGGGTGGCGTGGCGGGGACAGAGCCAGGCTGGAGCTGGGGAAGAAGGCCTGGATGTGGGGCGGGAGCGGGTGGCTTCAGAAGGGGAGGAAGAGCAGTCCCAAGGCTTTGAAGGCTTTATTTCCTGGGGCAGAAATGAGGGCAAGAGCGGGCGCAGCTGGGAGGGCGGGGGCAGGACCCGTGCTTCCTGGGCGCCTTGCTTTCCTCAGCTGTGCTCAGCTGCTCCGTGAGGACAGGAAGGAGCCGGGGCAGGGGTGGCCTGGGCCGGGTTCCCCAGAGGGAGAGTTGTTATAACGCTGGACTCTGGCACTGAGACGGGACGAGGAGGCGGTGAGGCTGTGCTGGCAGCAGTCTGGTGGAGTCAGCGCAGCGGCGAGGGCAGCTGGCCGCGTGTGGGTTCTGGTGGTGACGGGGGCTGCCGCGGAGCCGTGCAGTGGGTGGAAGAGGTGTGGCTGGGGGCAGGGCCCTGGAGGTGGGCAGGAGTGGGCAGTGGCATCAGAGGCCAGGGCCCAACAGAGCCTGTCCACCTCATGAGTGACAATGGCAGGAGCTGGCAGGATGGTGAGCCCTCCCCCAAGGGAGCCACCCCGGACCGGCCTGGTCTGTGCTGATGGAGGGTGAGCTCCAGCAGCCTGGCCTCCCTGAGCCCTCGATGCAGAAGAAGGCTCATCCCAGCCCCTCTGCACTGAGATGAGGGTCAGCAAGGGCCAAGCACCAAATTCCACTGAGCCCCACCAGCCGGGGAGGGGTCCCGGCCACTGTGCCTGCTCAGCGCCCTCCCAGCGGCTGCTGCCTGGAGCTTGACTGGAGCCCGAGGGACGGATGCTCTAGGCCCACTAGGCCTCCACCACCTTCTTGGCCCTGGCCCACAACCCCTCTCCTGGTAGGAGCCCAACCGATGGCACTCGCCTGCCACTGCCAAGTTTTGCCGAGTCAGGTGGGCCCTGGCAGAGCTTGGCCCTGTGCCTGGAGGACGGTGGGGAGATGTGGAGAGAGCCAGGAAGCATGTGGTCTATCCCCAGATGAGGAGTGTCAGAAGCAGGGTGTGGAATACGTGCCAGCCTGCCTCCTGCACAAGAGGAGGAGGAGGGAGGACCAGCTGGATGGGGACGGGCCATCTCGCCCTAGAGAAGCCTTCTGGGAACCCACGTCCAGCGATGATGGCGCAGCCCCAAGTGACAGTGATGACAGCATGACAGACCTGTACCCACGTAAGTTGGACCATGTCCGCTCCCCACTCCCACTGTGTGTCCTCTGGTCCTGGGCCCTGGCCGGCGGCTCTCCCCTCGGCCCCCTGCACAGGGTGAACTTAAAACAGCTTATCGCTCTGTTCTTCCCAGCTGAGCTGTTCACCAAAAAGGACCTGGCAGGGACTGAGCACAGGGACAGCACCGATGACTTTCTGACAGATGATGAGGATGAGAAGCCAAGGCGCCTGAAGGAGAAGGGCCCTGGAGACAGAGCAGAGGGGGAAGTGGACTGGGAACTGGTCCTCAAACGCGGGAAGGTGGGTCCACCTCCAGGGCCGCCAGCGTGGCAGCCCCTTCCTCTCGCAATGGTTCAACTAATTTAGAGAAATGGAAAGAACCTTTTTAACAAATGGAATCTCAAGCTAACAACACAAGAGCTAAGTGCGGAGGCTGCTCTGCGGGGGTGGGGCTGCTCCCTGGCCTGCAGCTGCAGAAGCGGGCTCCATGGAGCAGGGGCGAGACCACTGGGCTGAGGCATGACTCAGTGCACCCCAGGAACCTAGAGGGAGGGCCCCGAAGGCCACCCTTTACCCTGAGGCTGGAATGAACACCTCATCCCCTTTGGCAGACAAGCAGCATTGGGCTGGGGGAGGCTGCGGTCTTTGTCGTGCCACCTGGGGATTCTAAGCACTGCCTTCACCTGCTGCGGGGTGTCCTGGAAGCCAGCTGCGGGTGGAAGGCTGATCCAGGCATTTCCCCTAAAGCTCTTCCTCTCTGCGGGGCAGGGGGTGTGGTGCTGGGCTGCCAGCGCCCCTACATCAGATCGGAACCCTCCACTGATCAGTTCTGTTTGTGCCACAGAAGCAGTCCGGCTCAGTGAAAAAGAAGTTCAAGAGTCGTCACCGCAAACCTAAGAGCATCAGCTCCTTCAAACAGTCAGGTTAATAAATGGCTGCTGGAGAAAACATATCCACGAGCCTTTGGAGAGTCCTCCAGGCGTCTCCCGTCTTCCTCAAGCCGCCTGCCACGCGTCCTCGGAAGTGCGGGGCTGTCCCCAGATCTGCTACCCCCGAAAGCAGGGCTGGGGGTCTGTCCCACGGATGTCAGGGTCTCACCCCCACCCCCAGGAAGTGGCAGGGACCCCGAGGGAAGAGTTCTGTCTGCACGTGGTCTTCGGTGAAGCCTAGAGGGGACACCTGGCTCACTGCGGCCCCGAGGAGAGCCCTGGCCAAGCTCCAACTGGCTGGACAACACCAGAGGTCACACTGCATACAACAAATGCCATTTATTTTGATGTGTCTCCAAGAATCAAAATGTTTTCAAACACAACTAAGATATAAAATACAGCATAAAATAAGGTTTATACCTATTCCCCACATAAAGCAGAAAACTTGTTCAGAAGTTGTTTTTCCAAAACCAACTGGTCGATCGTTTTCTCCTCCTTGTGTGACATCTACCCCGATCCGGAGCACTAGGCCACTGTCGCTTGGCCACCAGGGGTCAATCTCAGTTATACAAACTGAACAGGTCTTCTAAGCACAGGGCTGAGGACCCATCCCCTGCCAAGGACCATGCCATGCATGGAGCGCCTGTGACCTGGCAGAGTGTGCTACTCACTGGGACGGTCGTGTGTGGTGACGGGGAAGCAGGTGTGGACCCAGGGACCTCCCAGCCCAGGTGGAAACCGAGTCAGAAACCGCCCTTCATGCGGGAGCGTCCCAGTGAGTGAGGGGAAAAGCCCCTGTCCTTATAAATACTCCGGGGTAGGGAAGTGGGCCATGGGGGGGTTAGGAGCATCTTGGGATGACCTCTGCTGTGGCTGGGACATGGGGGTGGGGGGCTGAAAAGGTGGCCGTCACTCCCCTTGGGTTAGCGGGTCCAGGCTGCAGAGGGACCAGGGGAGCTCCTAAGAGCACTGATGGCCAGGGCTGGCCCCACACCGCGCCGCAAAGCTGACCGGGGTCCTGGGGTGGGGGTGTGCTCCGCACCTCACCCTGGCTCTGGTCTGGGAGGTAAGCGTGGAGCCTGGCTCAGGACTGGCTCCAGCAGCCCTGGGGGGTGGCCCTCAGGCTTGCACCCCCAGCTGATGAGACCAGAGAAGAGACTGGCCCCAGGGCCAGGCTTCTGAGGGGCCTCCAAGGAGAGCCAGCCTCACCTCGTCAGTCTGATCCCCGGAAGGCCCCAGGGAAGGGCCGCCGGAGGCGCAGGGATGTTCCGACTCAGCTCATGGGGGACAAGCGGACAACAGCGACAGGTGCTCACGCCCCCACAAGAAGAGAAACACAGTATAAGGCAATGTTAGAAACTTTAAATACAGGATCAAGATCCAATCGGTAAGGCATCACAAATCGTAAAAAGTAATTTGGGCTGCGTTCAGCAGAGCGAGTAGGCAATCCGAGCAAGCAGCGGCCTCGTGAGAGCAGGAGGTGGTGGCTGCGTGGCCGGAGGGGCCCCTCAGCCCCTTGGCCCCGGGCGGCCGGGCGGCGCGGGCCCCAGCTGCAGCCGCGACTCTGGGACAGGTCAGCGTGAGGTAACTGGTCTGAGAGCCCGCTCTGGCCGGCCCTGGGCCCCCTAGCTGGGCAGTGGGGCCCTGCGGGCTCCAGGTGGCTTCCCCGAGGACCACCGTCCCCACCGTGAGCCGCCCCCGGGTATCACCCCGGAGCTGCTGCAGTCCGAGCCGATGTTCTGACTAGCGCCTTTCACCAGCAACGGCGGCCGCAGCCGCCCCTTAATACTGCCTTATCCTTTGGGTTTGGGGCTTTCCTGAACGGTTTTCGCTGTCCCTATCACGTACCGCAGCGCAGGGCGGCTACAACGCGGAGGCCGCGGGTGCAGTTTTAACCCGGTGCTGATGTTGGGCTGGGCTGTCCCAAATCATTTAGTAGTTTTAGCTAAAAACGTAAACTTTGAAAGAAAAAATAAAGAGGGAGACTGCTTTGAATGATACACAGATGTATCTGCTCACAGTACAGCTTGAAGGTCCCCCGCCCCCAAAAAGAAACAAAAACAGGACTGAGGGGCCACAGCCAACCAAGCTGCTCGCCCCGAGAAGCCACGGCCCCGCCGGGGGAAGGGGCGCTGCCCGCAGGCTGGGGCTCCGAGTGGTCAGGGACCGGCTGTGGGGCCAGAGCCGGGCTGGCCATCAGTTATCAGGTGTCTGTGAATAAAGTTCTCAAAACATCTGTGCCTTTACCAAGGGAGGGAAGGGGAGAGGATACATAAATGCTGGCGGTTAGGTCGAATCCACCCGAACCATCCTCGGCAGCCACGGTCCTCGCAGGCGGGGGCTGTCACCACTCCTTCTTCTTCTCGTCCATGGACACGCCCCCAGGACCCAGGGCCACCACCAGCAGCAGGCCTCCGATCACCGACATGGTCTGGAAGAAGTCGTACTTCAGGAAGTCATGCATGGGCTTGTAGACGGGAATGGTCCAGAAGGCGTTGAAGTACACGTTGATGGCGAACAGCCAGACCACGAGCGTCAAGGCGGCCAGCTTGGTTTTAAAACCGATGGCCACTAAGATCATCAGAGCTGTGCCCACGATGTTCTGGAGAATCTGCACAGGTTGAATGGTGAGAAATGAACATAAGCGTGAGGAAGACGAGACGTTACCTCGTTTTATAAAACTCCACTGACGTCTCTGTGCCAGGATGGGGGAACTCAGGAGCGGCTGAGAGAGGGCATTACCAGAGGGGGATAAAAATAGCGTCCACTGCGTGAGGGACGGCAGATACAGCAACGCTCTGAGTGGAGACGGGCTTGAGGAAAAGCAAAAGGTCTCCACTTAACAGGCTGAGCCTGTTACCAGGACCCACTCAAGTCCAGCCGTAACCACACTGCCCAGTGCTTCTCGGAACTGACCTCGCCCCTCCCTCAGCGGGGGGGCCCCTCCTGGGGACCTCGCCAGCCAGTCACTGTAATGACCTGCTCGATAAGCCCCTGGGAGACAAGGACCGAGCCTTCAACTCTGCAGCCCCGACACCTGGCGTGCAAAAGCACACGGCAGCGAGGAAGGAAGGAGAACACGAGTCTGTGTAAGGAACCCCGTCAGCGGGCTGGAGGGCCGGCACACCGGGCACCGGGGCCCATCGGTGAGGTCAGGGAGAGTCGGGACTTAATCTGTTGGAAAGGCAGCTTCTGGGCACACGAGAGCTTGACAGTGAGTGTCCTGTTGCCTTTATTAGGGTTGTTCCAGGGGCCCCGCAGGGAAGAGCAGGGGACAGCTGCCCTTCTGGAAGGACGGGGACCAGACCCTGTGAGCCAGCAGCAACACTCACCGAGAAGAAGCTGGCGTCAAAGTGGAGGAGGGTCATGAACATCAGGACGAGCAGGACCCTGCCTCCGAGCTGCATGTACTGGCGGGGGGAGCTCTCGCGCATGGTGGGGACGCCCGCAAACATGCTCTTCCCTTCAGAACGGGACTCCGCCAGCAGCAGCAGCAAGCCCCCTCCCAGGGCCAGGTTCCTGAGGAGCAGAAGCGCCACGCGAGTCGCCAAGGCTCACCGGGCCCTGCGGGTGCCCGTCGGACCGATCGGGAGACCCTGGCAGGAGCACGGACTCCGCTCCAGCTACACCCACAGACAGGCAGGAACACCTCTCATGAAAGCTGAGCCGCTCAGCAGGGATGGGCAACCAGGACATCCTCAGGCCTGGGCCCGGTCTGGGCTCTCCTGACCGGCTGCGTCCCGGTGGGCAAGTGTGTCTCCCTCGGGCCCTCCTCCCTCCCTCATGAGATACTGGGTCGAGAGGGACGACTTGGTTCTCACTCGTGTTCTGGGGGCTCTAGGTAGGGGAGGAAAAGGCTTCACCAACTATGACTCTAAGAAGAACAGTTTAGACCCAAAGAAATTTCTTCCGGCCAACAGTTACTGCGTGGGGACGTGAGGGCAGCACACGAGGCTCACCACCCAGAGCGCACCTACCTCATCAAAAACTTCAGGTCCCAGAGGATGCTGTAGGCGACGGTCTGAGGGGAACAGAAAGGGGAGACCTGAGTCTCGGCCGTTTTCAAACAGATCTGTGTTTCTACAGAATTAACAGCAGCAGGCAATTCTGATCTAAGTGAGGATGTGAACACAAGCCACAAAACCCTCTCAGGACCCCGGCAGCTTCAGGCTCAGCAGCGTGGCTCAGGCTTCCCACGGCGTGCTGGCGGCCCCGGCCCTGCCTGACAGGCACCTGCTTCCTCAGGGCCGGGCCCAGTGGTTCTGGAGACCAGGCGGCACTGAGATGCCCATCTGGAGTAAACGTGTGTTAAACATTTCATCTGGGTAGCTAAATGTTCTTCTTTATGAAGTAAATGATAAGACAGAGTCCTAGCTTTGTGATTTGTCCCCTTGTCACAGGAAACCCAGGAAAGTGGCAAAAGGAGGATCCCCAGAGCTCAGCCCCTTCCCGGGCGCTCGGCCCTCTGGCTCTCCTGAGCTTATATAGGGGAAAATCTAGCAGTTTCTCAGAAGAGAAAAGGAGGTCCAGGGAGACTCAGAGGGGCTGAAAGGGGAGTGACCCGAGCCCCCCCGACCCAGTGCTCTACACAGAGCAGGAAGGGCGAGACACGGCCGTGCCGTCTACCTGCAGCGCTATGATTCCGAAGAGCCCGAAGCAGGCGTACTGCACGAAGTTCCTGCTCAGCACCAGGATGCAGCCCGCTGGAAGGAGAGGGGGCGTCAGGGGCTGCGGCCACTGCCTGGCCCTCTGGTGCAGCGCGGCCCAACTGCCTACCCGAGCTCAAGGCAACTTCCGGGAGGATTCAGGGCAGGCACAGCCTTCACACAGGCCTTTGCTTATCAAAACCAATGGTCTGGAAAGTGGCTCCCCTGTTACAGGGGGCGTCTGTGCATCGGCAGCTCTGCTCGGACAGCTTCCAGGATAGGCTGGGAAGCACAAGTCCCTCAGCTTGGCTTTTGACCGCCCTGGCTCCTCGCTGGCCCACCCAGGTCGCAGGTCTCCAGCACCGCCTGCTCTGGGCCCTTAAACTCGTGCTTCTGCAGAAGCGTCAAAGCAACGAGGCCAGGACTGACACGGAGCACCCACCAAATGCTGGCAGGACCAACTCCTGGGCCGGGCCTGCCGCCCTGGAGAGGAGGGGGCGAGCGGGGCGCAGACGACCGCCCAGGAGACCCTCGCGTTCCCCGGCCCCCACGCTGCGGAGCCACTCACTCAGCTGCCCGAGCAGGTTGAGGAGCACGAAGGAGGAGGCCAGCAGGTAGCCACAGCTCCAGGTGCTGTCGATGTAGTCACGCTGCTCGCTCCACTGGAACCACATGCGGATGCCGTCCTCCAGGAAGGTGCTGATCAGGCAGAGGCGCGCCACGTGCGGCAGGTACTGCTTGGTGACGCGCAGGAACTGCGGGGCCGCAGACACACAAGGGTGAGGGGCCGCGGGAGGGACACCAGACCCCAGCCGGGCGCTCCCAGCACCGCCCTGCAGGTCTGGACGTGGGCCGACCTGAGCCCCTGTCCCAGAGATGACGGAGCCGGAAGGCAACGCCATGGGCCCTTCCCTGACCTCTGTCATCAGCAGACGGGTGTAGGTGGCAACTACAGCTGTCACACGTGGAATTGCCACAGGACACGGCTTCTCTCAGTCAAGGGCATGGGCGAACGAGAACCGCTGAACGACAGGCTGGATGGGCCCTCAGGGCTGACCCGGTCCAGCGCCTTTGCACCAAGGCCCGACGGCACCTGCGGCAGCTCAGCCTCTGCAGGGGGCGTCCCGCCCTGAAGGCCCCTGCCCAACGGCGCCATGAGCAGCCCTGCTCCGACTGTGACACCCAAAAATCCCCCAGACATGGCCATGTGTCTCCCGGGGAAAAAACTGCCCCTGCACGCTTAAGCACAATCTCTCATTTTACAGAGCGACACTGACCAGATGTTGCCGTGCTGAGGCTTGGCCTGGCCTACTGGTCACCCAAGGTTGAGCCCTTGACCTCCCAGCCGCCCCAGCACCACCCAGAGGCCCTCCAGACAGAAGGGGGTCCACTTAGGTGACAGCGGGCTCCAGGCCTAGAGGCCACATGGCATCACGGTCGACCAAACGATGAGCTCATAAGCGTCGCTCATCCAAAGTCTCCGGCCCGACAGCCCCCAAGGCAGAGGTCGCAGCCAGACCCAGGCTGAGTGCTCAGCACAACGAGGAAACGTGAAGTGGGGGTGGCTGAGGCTCCAAAGCGCTGGGTTCTTTGAAGAGCCTGTGTGGCCCAAAGCAAATCAAACACCAGGGACGGCTTCAACAGCGATGACGTTCATGTGTGTAAAATCACCCAAATGTCAGAGACAGCAGGCCGCCTGCCATTTACGACGGATGATTAGGAAACAGACGCACCAGTCATGACCAAGGCACCACGTCACCCAGGTGAACCACACGTACTTTCTCTTACCAAGCGTTCGGAGCTGACGGACAAAGGGAAAGAAATCCTATGACACATGATAACACAGCAGGAACTCAGCAGAAAGATCAGGGACCCACTCACGTGAGTGACATGTCAGGAGCCAGAGTCTAAAGGGCATCGGTGAGTCTGACCCTTTAGAGGGACAGCCAAACGAATGTCACAGCCCCCCTAAGGCTGATTAAACCTGTTGCTGGAATAAATGAAGGTGTACATAAGAGCATGTCTTAATTCTCAGCGTTTTGAAAAGCTGTTGAAGTCCTAGAAAGTGCTAAAGCTGTGGAACGCAGTTAACGAGACTGGGTGTTTAGAGCCACCGTTAGCCGGTCAGCTCTGGCCGGGTCAGCACAGAGAAGCCTCCCCTCCCCCTGCGATCTGGGCCACAGCAGCCTGGCCGGCCTGGAGGAGGGGAGGAGAGAGATGCTACAAGCCAGGTGTCCCTTCTCTTCAACTCCTGGAGCCCGAGCCCCAGGCTGTCAATTCTGCAATCTGTCCGTCCCTTGACCCCCATGGATGCGGTGCCAGAGTCACAGTGAGACAGACAGACACCCAGACAGTGAACCACGCAGGACCGGGGGAGGAAGTACAGGCTGAGACTGAAGCCCCGGGTTCTGATCCTGGCTCTGATACCCACCAGCCAGTGCACTGCGTACCGGGGACAGGCCGAGCTCCTCTGGGGGCAGGGGTCTCTGCTGTCCTACAAAGTGGGGACAGCTGGATTAACGGTTGCAAAGATTCTTTCCAACTTTAATAGTAGAGAAGGGAAGGAGAAAGAACCTTTTTTATTTATTTTTTTTAAAAGAGGCCCCAGTATATGAAGCCTGGGGTCGCCGCAGAGAAGAATCTTAGGACAGACGTACTGGGCGCAAGCACAGCAGGTCAGGAGGTGCGGGGCCAGCGGGCGCCACACACGCTCCCATTTCTGCCTCATGGCCTGAATGCTTTTGAAATGCCAGCAACAGTGCGGTCACCCACTCCCTCAGGAGACAAAGGGCACCTTCGTGGCTCCAATGCTATGGCCCTCGTGCCAAGGCCCAGCAACGACACAGGCCTCAGCTCAGTATCGAAACCGGGGAGCATCAGCGGTGAGGCCGGCAGAGCCCCACGGACGGGCGGGGTCCTGACTCGCCTCCGCCGTACCCGCGCCTCCTGGGCGGCACAGGCACTTGCCCCCGCACCACAGCCCCCAGGACCCAGGCGGCGTTTAAAGCCTCCGGGACGTGTCTGCCCTCTTAATTTGAGTGTCTGGGCCAAGAGGATTAAAGAGCGGCGGAGAGATTGTTCCCTTTGGGCAGGTAATTCACTCCTCCCTTCGAGTGCAGACACGCCGAGGAGACGGGCATCTCTCTACTTTGGGAAATAAAAGCAAAACTTCAGGTATGTGTGCTCTGAACCAAGCACGTACATGCTTTCCAAAGTCACGTGTGGTCTAGGTTCAGGGCTGACCGTTTTGTAAGTCAGGCCAACCTAGAGCCTCTCTTAAACCAGCCACCCTCTAATGAGCACCTGTTTGGACTGAAAGAAAAAAAACCAGGTTTGATAACATGAGACCAGACCCAATTTTCATCTTACTCCCTATGTGCGTTTTGGTCTCGGTGGTTCAGAGCTAGCCACTGGACCCACAATATGCTGCTTTATACAGTGTCCCAAAGCCTGCGTCCCCTCAGCACAGCAGAAAGCCCCTGAGGCCGGCACCAGCAGCACCTGAGTGCTGAGAGCAGTCAGCTGGCCGGTGCTCGTGCTGAGCCGGCATCTGGAGGCCGGGTGCCGCCCGCTGACCGTGCCTGCTGGGTCACCCGTGGCCGTGCTCTCAGGAGAGGACGATGACAGGAGGGCGGGGGGCAGACACTGAGCAGGCAGAACCTGCAGGAGGAGGGATGACCGTCTGTCACCCGGTGGGCAGTGGTGGGGGGAGGCCTTTCCCAGGAATCTCTAAAGCCCTCACAAGCAAGCATGGTGTACAGTTCACAAGCAGCTGAGTGACTGAAATACAGAGAGCTGAGGTCTGCTTCCAGGGAGTTACTATTTTAGAAGATAGAAGGGGATTTAAGAAAAGGAGCTACACCTGATCCGAGACATGACTCTGGGAACACAGTGACCATGTCACACAGCCACCTGCAGCTTCCATAAAACACTGGGAAACCTGCCTTCTCTTGGTATTCAGGACAAAAGGGACTGAGGAGAGCAGTCCGCAGTTCTTGGCTAATGAGAATTTTGAGGCAAAAGAAGGTGGGTTGGACTTCCTTGGCCCTGAGGACTGCACATCCCAGAGGGCGAGAACTTGTGGCTGGGTGACCTCCTCACATCAGGTGAGTCAGGGCTGGTACAGAGCTCCGTGACTCACACGCAAGCGCCACCAGACCCCCGATCCCCCAGTGCTGCGGAGGTTTACACAGCACCTCAAGGTCCAGGAAGAGATGTCAACTGGCTCTAAGCTGGCAGATAGCCTGGCCTTCTTTCCTAAAATTCCATGGGCAACAAAAAGCCTTCCACAGGGGAGCAGCGCAGGCTGCACGTGACCTTCTGGGAGAAGCCGCACAACCCACAGCCCCCCGCGTCTCCTCCCCCCAGAAGCGGCGGGGCGGCCCTCCTTAACCTCCCGTGTAAGACCAGCAAGAGGCAAGGGTGAGCCAGCCAGCTCCTCTGCCCTCTCCCCACTCCTTTCTGGCATAAGGCAGGAAGCCCTTTGAGAGGAGACGGTCACAGAGCAAAGGAACAAGAGGAAAACATTTGCAACCCACCCACCACCGTCACTGGAACCCTACCCACAGCGACGGTCTGCCACGTGCTGTTCATCCAGAGCCCTGAGACCTGGGGCTACAGATGCCAGTTTGGTGTCCTGTCAGGGCCATCCGAGCTACCAGAGGGCAGGGGGAGCTCCTGGGGGCAAGACTGCCTCTGTCCTGCCAAGACAGGTAACAATATCAACGGCCACACTGGAGAGCAAGGCCCCATGCAGCTTACGTGTCGCCTTGGTGACCAGGCCATCAGGCAGAAGCCACGAAGCGCTAATACTCCTGTTTACTGGTGCCAGCGCACCAGGAAGTTGCCTTCCGCAGACCGGCTCGAGCACCAGCTGCAGGGCTCGGACGCGGTCTTGGACTGCTGAGTTCACGAGTCCCTGGCCCCTTCCCAGCCGGTCTCAGATGGCTTCTGAAGGCGAGCTCCCGCAGAGCGCATGCTCAGCAGTTTCTCCGGCCGGAGGACACTGTCCCTGGCTGCCCAGGGCAAGGAGCTTGATACCAAGATGCAACGCCGGTGGAGCTGCCAGCGGCAAGAAAGCAGACCAGTCACCCCGGGCTCGCGCCTCTGCAGACTGAAGGGAAGGTCGCAGGGAGGCCGAGCTGCGCGCGGGTTCACTTCAGCCCACCACATGCCGGGCAAGACCACGCAGACCTCCCTCTCTGCATGTGAGGATGGAAACACTGTGGCCAAGCTCACGTGACCCGGGGGTGACACCGGAGTTTGCTCGGAGGACCTGGCCCAGCGCAGAAGGTGGGGATTACTGGCTGGCCTGCTCACAGCAGCCCAGGCTTTCTGGCCAAATCCTGTCACTTCACTTTTGCTTTGGTTTTCTGAAGACAAGGTTAGAAGATAGATATGTCACATTATACGATCAGTGACTTTGATGACACTTCCCCAGTCCCTTCAGAGTAGATCATTTTCATTTTAGCCTGGACTGGACCTTTATTATTGGCAGCTTTTTAAAAAAAAATCTAATTTTTATTTTTGTTTTGGGTTTTTTTGGAGGGGGTAATTAGGTTAGGTTGATTTATTTATTATTATTCTTCTTATTTACCAGAGGTACTGGGGATCAAACCCATGGCCTCGTGCACACTAAGCATGCGCTCTACCACTGAGCTATACCCGCCCTCCACTGGCAGCTTTAATACCATGTGGATAAATGGTAAAAACAAGAGCTCCACCCCAGCGTGGCCAGGTTCTGTCCATCGGGAGCATCACTGCTCTGCACCCGGTCTGTCCACATCCTTCTCTCACACCAGGCCCACCGGCAGAGGAGGCTCCTACCCTCGGTCGTGAAGAGCATGTGGGGCCCAGCCCTCCTGAGTTGCCCACAAAGGAGCAGGGAGGTGTCTGCGGACATGTGCCACCACCAAGGTGGGCTGTGCTGAAAAACCGACAGCAGGGGCCCTCACTGCCCGACAGACACAGCCTTGGTCCATTTTGTGGTTTTCGGTTTTTAGGTAGCCTGCCCTCCTACGATGATGCTGCTTGGTGCTCTCCCCTTCAGCTGTCCCAGGAGAGGGACATCAGGCCTTAGAAGCATGTGTGTGCCACTAGCCTTGAGGTCGGAGACTGGGTACGTCCCGGGGCTGTGGCCCCAGGCTGGTCCAGGAGCCTCAGCAGGCCTGGCCTCCCTTCTCGCAGTAACCTGATGGGTGCAGGCCAACCCTGTGTGCCCCAAGAGCCTTTCCAGTTCCAAGATTCTGCTTCTTTCATTTAAAACAAACAAAATGCATGCAGAAAAAGGAAGAAAGGATTACGTAAAAAAGAGCCTGATTTTTTTTCAGTAGGAGAGTTTATCATTTGATAGTTGGCAGCAGCCTGATTGGCGACATTTTATCTAGATTTGGTTATGAAAGTCACTTGCAAAACCAGGGTTTTCCGGGCTCAAGAGTGACTGTACATAGCTGTCATGGCTCCTGTGGCCAAGAGGAGCCATCTTCTTTGGCAGGTACTACTTGGGGAAATAAAATTGGGTCACCAAAATTATGTCAATGAAAACTGACCAACAAAGCCTATTCGGTCCTTCGCAAGGGATACAATTTTACTCTCTCTCTCTCTCTTTTGGATTTTTTGCGAGGAATACAATTTTCAGGCTGTGTCTGTAAACACAAAATCTTGATCTCAGGAAAAACTATTTCTTCCAGCTGATGTGCTTTTTTTTCTTTTTTTACCGGCAAACGGGTTTTAAAATATCAGCTCACAGGAAAGTGGTGCACGGAGAACCCAATGAGGCCACACTAGAGAGACATCTCCCCGCCAGGGGGGCAACAGGAAATCTTGTTCACAGTAACGGATCAGAAAACGCTCACTTTCTACTTTTTTAAAATCACGAACACACACGTACACACACACCTTCCAATAAGAGCAGCCTCAGAGTCTGATTAATCAAATCACCCACATAAAAATTAAAGATTTAACCTCACTACTTTTAACTCTGGCAAAGCCACAAACGTGTAAGTGAGCCTGAGAAAGAATGGTAGTTGGGCCAGATGCAGGGATAAGGCTGTTAATCTGTATAAATAACGGGATACTTTTAGAAGTAAAAAGCACACAACTCAATAATCACCACATTGTTTTGGTCAAGCTTAACCAAAAGGAAGGGTGGAAGCTCTGTCCTCTCCGTTTCCAGGATCTGGTTCTGTCCACCCAGTTTCTGAACACCTTTGACAATGACTCAACCGCCTGTTTCACGGGCTCCCCTGTTGCTTAGATGCCACCTGCACACTCTTCGAAGGGGGAAAACGGGAGGCTAGGCCTCCCCTCCTCCTAGGTGTGTGCACGGATAGATAGATACCCATTCATTTCAGTCCCAGGGCAGAGTCCGAACAGGGAGGGAAAATGCAGCGAGGTCAAAGGGACCCCACGAATCCAACACATCTGGGAAAGAGAAGACACAAAGTGCTGTGGCTTTCAGCAGTGGGGGTGCATACCGGGGAATCCCCTTTCCTCTGGGAGGACCCCCAGGCCTCCAGTCTGACCAACCCCTGGTCAGGATCAGCTCCCCACCCCGCCCCCTAAGAGTGTCCAGTAAAAGGAAAAGCGTGCAGCGACCACCCAGCAGTGCAGAATGGAGAGGATGCTCCCCAAGCACCCCCAGGCCTCGGGCTGCCTCCTCAGGAGGCGAAGGCAGCCACTCACACCCCTCCGCTCCTGGGATGGCCCCGGAGGGCTGGGGAAGATGGACCCACCGAGCTGGGTGCCGAGGCACGGGCCCGGGAACACATCCGGAGCCCCTGGTGGGGAGGCGGCGCAAGGGCAGGCTGGGCCCGGAGGCCGGGTTTGGGGGTGTCCCAGGCCAGGACGGGCGACGAGCCCAGGAGGGAGTGCCCTGGC